CACCCTATCAGCAAAATGTTTCTAGAAAAGAAAATAGACCGAGGAGTCATAGTGGAACTGTTTCTCCCATTCCTCCGCTAAATTCGCAATATAATATAACTCCGGTAATTGAAACCATTACATCCAGATTTCTTCTTTACGATATTGAATTATTTGATTTACCTTTGCGCATTTAGTCTACGAATTCTGCACAACGAACTGGTTCAGTCCCGACCTCTATGTCTTTTGGAAGTTCCATACTTGACGCACCACCATTGCCTTTTATCGCGCCACCTACACCATTACCGATGACACAAAATCCGGAGTTAGTAAAATTGCAATCAGACGTTTATGATAAGGTTAAACAGAGCTGTCTAGAAGATTTCCAAAGGTCTTCACCAGAAATTCACAAGATAATGGCTATCGGTGAAAAACTTAACCAAAGTCAAGAAAACGTTGAGCAAGAACGCAAAGGTTTGCTTGATTTGGAAAGTAAAATTAACGAAAAGACAGATTATGTAAAGTCGAAGATTACAGAGATAGATAAATTAATCGAACAAGCAAAGAACATGCCCGAGGTCTCAGTTGATGATGTTTTATGCGGAACGACCATAGTTTATAATCAGTATGCATCATTTTAGTTACTTATTTCCTTGTTTTCCTTTGATCTTAATTTTTTTTCCTTTCCTTGTAGATTATTTGAATTGGTGGCTGAAGATAATGCAATAGAAGACGCAATCTATTACTTGGGAAGAGCATTAAGCACAGAAAGGATAGATTTGAACACGTATTTGAAGGTAAATTATCATTCTCTTTGAATCTAATTTCATTCAGTATCCTAACTAATACCTCTACATATTTGTTTATACATATATGATGATATAGAATGTCCGCACACTTGCACGAGAACAGTTTATATGCAGGGCACTCATTCTAAAAATTCGAAGGCAAACAGGATTAGATAGACAAAAAATCCCATAACTTGTAAGGGTTAAACTTTAGGGATTTTGATGCATTAGTGAAAGTAAGACTTGAATAGCAATAGATTGTAATTTTTAAAGGTGATTTAAAATTATGTTTAATGTATAATTACTTACATGCATATCTATTTGATATTAAATTAAATAAAATTGTTAATAAACCAAAGTATATAGTGAGTAAGTAAATAACATATACTGTATATTGATTAATTACATTAAAATTTGTGTTTTTAAGTTACAAGTTATTAATACAATATACTATATTTATTATTATATATTGTGTACAATAAAATTTTTTTGAATTTATTTTTAATTAATTTTAAAATAGTCTTTTCAAGTTGGATATTATTTATTTATTTTTATTTGAGATTGTAAATATTACTATATTTTGACAAGTTATAATTATTTATTTATATAAAATATGTTTTTTAAATATAGTATGATGTAAAAAAAAATAAAATTATGACCTATGGGTTTATAGCATAGTAGTAATGCTTCATAGATTACCAGGAGAAGATCTAGGATTCAAACTCATCTGGTTACAAAAATTTATTACATTTATAATTGGTTGACTAATTTTCAATTCATGTTGTACCTAATTAGCTAAAAATCAATTTTCAAATTTAGTTAGACTGCACAAAGATAAGACTTCTGGTCTTACCAACAATCATAAGTTGAAAATAGATCAAAGCAAAGAAAGTTATATGAGAAAATGCTTCTGATCTAACTTTAGTAATAAGCCCACAAACTTTAATCCAAACTGGCAACAGCAAATTCTATTCCATAAGAATATTCTAGCTTGAAACTATTCCAATTTGGTACTTGCTTAAAAAAAAGTTATATCTCAAATATGTGCTTGATATAACTAGAAGCTGTAGATGGTGACAAAAAGTAATTTATTTTCTTCAAGGTTTTGAATAAAAAAATATATATGATATTTGGATGTTTTATTAAAATTCCTGAAAAATAATATGATTTTTTTCCAGTGGGTAACTGAAAAATATGATTGGACCAATAGGAAAGTAAGTTTAAATTAGCAATAGAATTTTCTTCCTTTGTGTAAATCTTATCTGAATATAGATCCATCTTTATAGTGCAAGTTAATTAACTAAAATAGTCAAATTGGCTTAAGAAAAAAACGAGTAATATTGGAAATAGTATTTACTTGATAGCATTAATTTACATTTAGAATAACAATAGTTTACTTTATAAAAATGTTTAATATAATGATAGTAATTATATATTATCAATCAAAGTCTTATATCTAATACCTTTAACTAATCAAAAAATAAATAAATAAAAAACAAAATTATATATTTACTTATAAAAAAATTTAATAATTAATTATATTATATTAAATTTTATAAATAGATTTTTTAATATCTTAATAATAGACTTATGGGTCCATAGTATAGTGGTTAACACTTCACAGGTCAAATTACAAGATACCAGTTCAATTCCAGATAAAAGCAATTGAATTGAATTAAAAATAGTATTTGGGACTATAACCTGTTAAGTCCTGTTTCCCATGGGAAGTCATTCACACGCTGATCCAGTGGAATGTTGCGATTGTGATCTTCAAGAAAGGTGTGTGATGGGATGATTATCTGGAAGTAGTCTAATAATCATCTAACAGTAGTCTGAACCAACTATACATTTGAATGCACAAACTGGGCTGTGTTCCATCTTAACCAGCCTAAGTGATATTTCCATTCTGCCAGCTTCTAAATAAGGCAACTTTGAAGAAACATACTCTCTTGGAATTGATGTACTGTGTAACATGGACCCCTAACGACTTACTGTATCTGTAGGAGTTGTGCTCTGCTTAGCATTCGTGCCCCTAGATATGGCAACCAACGCCAACCAGCTTCTCCAAATATGTTTACTAGGAGATAGGGACCTTGGAAGCGTGATGATCACATCAGTCTGGCCTGTATGGTCCTTGCAGATTTGTGTCCCAATTGGTCAAAAAGGACCCCTAGGTTTGATAGCTGATAACCAACCAGAGGATAAAAAGGTTCGGAGTATTCACTAGAGAGTATAGACCAACATGAAGACTCTTCTGCCATGGTAATTGAGTATTGGAAAAATATGATACGATAAGTTACTTATAAGGATATCTAGCAGTACCTCTATTGTTTTCGCATAAAAATTGGATTGGTAGGTTAGGTGGTTTAAACTAATGGTAGGAATTTCTCCTCTAGATAGGTTTTTTCAAAGATATGAAAAAATACTTCAAGAGTGTCAGATTAGCATTAATGGACAAAAACAGTTGATAGGCTAGCATTAAGCTGTAATATAACTGTTACAAAAGATATTTGATGTATTATAACAGATATATAATATCAATAAAGACTTGCATCTAATACTGTTCAACTAAAAAAAAAAAAAAAAAATCTTAATAATAAGTTTTTTAATAAGTTATACTATATATATATATATATAATATATACGGTGTATTAAAAAGTCTTTGAACTAATATTTTTTAATATAACTTAATAAATAATTATTTAATTGATATAAAACTTTAAATATATATTTTTTATAATGTAATAATAAAAATATTTAAGTTTTATAAATAGTTGATTAATAAATTTATTATAAAATATTAATTTAAAATAAAAAAAAATTAAGTTAAAAAATTTTCATCAGATTTTTTAAATGATTGACTATAATTAAATATTAAAAATCAAAAAATAAATATTAAAATTATTTAACAAAAAAAT